TTGTGCAGGGGCTGGGGGAGATGGTAGAGCTGCAGCCTGTCCTGCTCCCCTGGGCACCGTTTCCTTCTTGCCAAGAGCTGTGGCAGAAAGTGTGTGTTCCTCCTGGGAAGGAGCAGGAGCAGCCTCTGGGGTGGCTGGCAGGGAACGCTGCTCCCTGGGCTTCCAGCACTGCTCCACAGGGTGTTAACCATGCAGCTCGTTCACTTTTCTTTCAAAGCAAAGAGCTTCCACCCTCAACTCCTAAGGTGTGTCTAGATCATTATGTTTGCTATTTGTTTCTGAGCTTAGATTGAACCCATTCATTTGGTTAGATTCTAGAAAATCTTTTTGGTGCAGCCAGCCAGCCTGGAAAAGGATGGGTTAATGTTATTTCTGTAGGGGACACACAGCTGACTTTTTTGGTAGTCTGATTTGTCTCTAATGTGCATACTTTAGGGGTAAATTCCCCTTAAAGTAGTTGGGTGATACTCTCCTAAGTTGCAGAAGGATGTCCTGACTTTAGTCCATGGATGAATTTTACATTCAGAAATAACATCCTGTGTCCAGGTGTTCTGAAATGCAAAGCAAAGGTCTGGATCTTCCAACAGTTACAGAATAAATGAAATACCAGATTTTTCTTTGGCATATAAGGAACTGGAAAACTACATCAACAGCACAGAACTCTGCAATTTTGAGAGAAGCAAGTGTTGCTGCCATTGAAATCCTTCCTGGCAGGACATGGTTTGAACCACTGAATCCTGTGCTTGTGGTTTGAGTTGGTTTGTTTGTTTGAACCTTCTGCCTGGGATCAGGTGTGATACACAGGAGTGATGCTCTGGCCACTTCAGCGTGTACCCTTTTGGAACTCTACAGATACGTATTTCTGGCTTTTGAAAATCTGGGTGTCCCACATCTTTCCAACCCCCTCCCGTTGTGTGGCAAGGGGTGACTGGAAGCTGTCACCTCCCCGGGGTCAAATCTCATCTGTCCTCTGAAGTCTGCTGGCACACCCGTGTGGTGACCCAGGGTATTGTGCTCTGCAGAGATGCTGTTGGCACTGGCTGCTGCTCACAGCCCTTTCCTACAGAATAGACACAGATGAAAAAACTGAAAGGAACAACTGAAACCTGGAAGGATTTTGTAAACAAGTTTCTTAAGAGGAGCTTGGAAACAGGCTCATGTTGTTCCAGTTCTAGTCTTAAAATTTCATGGAAGGTATCCAAGGGCTGCTATTCCCTTGCCATTCCCATTCCTAGCACGGACTTCAGGTTGAATGTTCATCTTAGAGGGAGTCTGGGTTATTTACAGAGTTGGCACTTCCCATTCCATCCCTACACTTGTTAAATGCCATCAGCTTGCAGTGCAACTGGGTGAAGACGTCACTGAGTAGGCAGGACAGGTGGGAGAAAAGTGCTGTCAGAAACAGTGCTGGGCTGATTGAGCTACCCAGGTAGATGTGGCTGTTATTCTCCAGCCTGGTTGTCAAGTGTGAGCTCACTCAGGACACCCTCAGAGTCCCTGAGGTGCAGCCTGGTTGAGGCAGGGGGGCTGTCAGCCCTGCTGAGGGAGGGACCTCACGTCTGGATCCACTGGAATTCTGCAGGATCCAAGTGCTTTGCTCCTTTGCGCTGCTTGGACGGGCCCGGTTTTGCTGTGGTGGTTTTTCAGGGCCCTGGGGGCAGCAGGGGCACAGAACTGGTGAGGTTGGGTGCAGAGAAGGGATTTTTTTTACTGTGAGAGTGACAGAGACCTGGGACTGCCCAGGGAGGCTGTGGAGTCTCCTTCTCTGGAGACATTCAAACCCACCTGGACACGTTCCTGTGTGATGTGCTCTGGGTGACCCTGCTCTGGCAGGGGGGTTGGACTAGATGATCTTTCAAGGTCCCTTCCAACCTCTAAGGTTCTATGATTCTCCTGGCACTGGGGGGGTGGGAAACCCGCTGTGCGGCCGCGGAGCCGCAGCCCCGCGCGGGCAGCAGGGAGGTGCTGTGGAACAGAACCGTTTCTGCTGGCACAGGTCAGTGCCTGGGCTTCAGCTTGGAGCAGATGCAGAGCTGGGCCTTCCTCAGGACGATTCAACACTTCCCTCTGCTGGAGAGCCACGTTGTGCTGGTGTGGGAGCTGGAGGGATGCGGCAGGTCAGGGCAGTGTGGGAGCCTGGGGTCCCTGCCAGGCCCTGCTGCTGGGAGCCAGGGCTGAGAGGCAGGAGCACTGCTGCTGTTCTCCTGGAACAGTTCCCACTCTCCCTGTTTGACATGGGAAGTTACTGGCGTTTTCTTGTGGCACAAATTGCTGCAGTCCATTTTGCTGGTCATCTTGGGATCGTTGTCATCCTGATGAGACTGGGGTGCTCAAAGTGACAACTTGCTGCCTTTACTGTAGAAGAAAAGGGTCACTTCCATCTACACCCACCACTGAAGTACTGCAGTGGATTGTCCTTTGATACTTGACAAACTGACTCAAATTAGTATGGATTTATTGCATTATTTCCCATCTGCTTATGATAATAAACAACTACTTGAACAAAATTTTCCAAGTTAGCTAATGACCTAGATTCTTATGGATGAACACAGTTCTAAATGGAAGCAAGTTACATTAGTCTGATTTTTACTCCTGGAAATTATATTCTAGGGAATCTACTTCAAATGAAATTATCTTTCTAAATGTTCTGTAGGATTTCTTAGAAATCAAATTATTCCAATATACAATTCTGAATAATAGAAATATCAGAGCTTGGAACTGCCCCTTATTTATTTGTGCTGTTCCAGTATAAGATAATTTCCCCTCCCCTTTCACCCTTCAATATGGTGGATTCTAGTAAAGAAGGAAATTATTTCCACCTAATGGGGTATTGAGGAAATAATAGAATTGACACGAGTAAGTAATTTCCTGTCTGCATCCCTGGAGCTAATGGCAACAAGGAGAAAAACTTTTCTCTGCCCAGTTAAACAATATCTAGTACTTGATGGAGTCGGATGCTCTGTCATTTGTGCTTTAGCACTGCCTGCACTGCAATGTAGGTATAAAAATAACCTTGTTCTCCTTCTGTTTGCTCTGGCAGCTGGGATGTTAGCTCAGCCCTGGCTGCAGCTCCCTGGGGCTTTGCAGGCAGTGTCGCCGGGGCTCAGCGGCCCCGCTGAGCGGCTCAGGGGACCTTTCCTTCAGACCTTGGATGCAGTTGGAGGGACTGTGAGCCTCTGCTGTGACTCTGTAGAAGAAACATGCTCTCTGGTTTGGCAGACGTGGGGTGATTGTGCCCCCTGTGCTCCCTGAAGGGGTGAACCACTGGAATGTCAGAAGCTGCTTTCAGGGCTGGTCATTCCTGGCGCGACCGTGTCCCTGGTGGGCAGGCAGTGCTGGAGCTCTTGGACCTGTCACAAGCCCCAGTTCCTGACTAAGTCACCAGGACTGATGGGAGCCTTATGAACTAAACCTGAGGAATAGGTGGTGTGGCTCATCCCTCAGACAGAAATGAGGGCTCTTGCTCTGTTGGGCCAAAGGGATCAGACAGACACAGCAGCTTTAATGCTGTAACCCAAGTTTTAGTTGTAACCCAAACTGCTGCTCTGTGTAGTTACAGCAGAGCACTAGAACTAGAGCTGGTGCAGGCATGAGATGTATGAAGCCTCTGGTTATATAATTTATTTCTTTATATTAAACTTTTTTTTTTCTTTTGGTGAGGAAAGTCTGGTATCCATAATGGTATCCATATAAAGGTGCAGTTGTTTGAAACCCTGAAGTGTGGATGGGGAAGGATTTGTTTAAGAATATAATGAGCTGACTCTTGAAAATATTTTGGAAATGAGCTGCAAGGGAGAGAAGATAAATATTTTATAAACATGTACAGATGAATTTATAGTTTGGCTTATCACAGTTTACCAGTTGTCTCCAGTTCTGGCTATGACAGGTCTCTCTTCTACCCATGTAAAAGCAAATCTTCTCATCTTCTGATTCTGTAAGGCCTCTGATACTGGGGCTTCTCTCCTTCAGATGGAAACAGATGTACTAAAAAACCATCATGTGCAAGTTGTTCTGTTAGCCTGAAAACTTGATCAGCCTGGAAGAAGAGCGAATTTATCTGTCAGCTCTGCAAAATCTTATAGGTGGTGATTAGAAAAGTGGGGGATATTTTTCTTAAGCATCCTGAACCAAAATTACAAGCAGAGGAGATGCTGGAGTCCTGGAGGTGGTTTTGTGTCCCCTCTGCATTGTCCCTCCCTGGGAAGGGAGTGGGGAGGTGCTGGGACTGGAGAGGCAGTCAGGGCCCATCCTGGACTGGCTCCTGTCACTTAACTTTCTCTTTCCTGTCAAAAAAGCAGCATGATCCCCCAGTGTGGAATGGTCAGGGAGCTCTGCTTCCCATGGCTGAGCCCAGCCCGGCGAGGATGCCCCCGTGGTGGCTGCTAACTGGGTGTCCCCAGACTTGCTTCCTTTTTTGGTAATATTCATTTGCTGGGGACGTTCCATTCGTGTATAAAAAGGCGCTTGGTCGTGTCTGTTTCTTTTCATTCACAAAAGGCATTTTTATGTGAAAAGCAGGAACTTCTTTCGTGTGTGGTTTTTTCTTTTCCTTGCCCATCACTGCAGAACAAGGTCAGCAGCCCCAACAACTGCTGTGGCATTAGCAGCGTTTCGTAACACAGCCTGCAAACCCCTCTGGGTTTAGAAGCTTCTCTTTCCTTCCAGATGAAGGGCTTTTCCCTGCGAAACCCAAAGTCCTGTTATTAATTCTAGACGAGCACGTTGGGGATTACTGAGCTGGGAGAAGTCGGAGCAGTTCGGTGCTCAACAACAAGTGGTTAAGTCACATGGTGCTGGTAGCTCAGCTCCTGCTTATAAGTAGCCACAGCATCTGTTAAAGGCACAGAGCTGGTGGTGACGTGGGCTGGATCATCAGACACCCTCCATTATTGGTGGGGCTTTTAATTGCTCTGCTCTGCTTTTAACTCCTGCTGGAGGCGGGAGCGCGAGGAGGCTGCCTGTGCCCGGGATGGTTTGGCCTTAACTTTGGGCTTTGAAAGATGGAATATTATTACTGTCCACGTTTGCTAAAGTTCCTGCAATATTTGTGGGTAAGTGTTAATGTCATCCTGCTTGCCAAGCTGGATGTTTTTAACTGTTTTCAGAAATCCAGAGAATGTTGTTAAGCAGTGAGGGCTTCCTGCTGCAGTTTCTTTCTGATCTTTCTGAGTAGGAGCGTTAAACCTGGGATTCATTTTGGCTCTTTTACCTTTAATACTTGCTTAAACTGAGGAGACTGCAGACTACTTGAAAACCCTCTTAGTAACTGGAATGTCTTCCTTGTTCACATCTGACTGTAGGAGTTGTAGTTTTGCATCCTGCATATTAAATATTTTTCTCCATTTGCTGGAAAGCTTCCCCGGGCTCTGGAGGCTGCTGCTCCGGGACGCTCCTTCCCCTGCTGCTCACTGGGGCTGCTGCCTGCTGGTTGAGTAAAATGGCCAGTACTCCTGGCTTTAGAAGTGTGTATTTTTACACTTATTTTTAATTTGCCTGGGTTAATTCACTTGTCTCGGGGAGCACTTCCTTATCAAACAGTCCTTGGGGCCCCCTTCGGTGAAAAGCTGTTTTAACCCTCTGAAGGGTCACTTTTGCACAGTGACTGCTATTGGACTGACCCCTACACCTTCATAAAAGATGAATTTGATTCATGAAGCCTTTTTAGATAGATACTATATAATTTTGAATTCATGTTTCAATTTCTTCTGTACTAATCAAATACCAATCTTGTTTGATTGTGGTGTTGTCTGCATTAATCTAGCACCTTTTTTAGCTGGAAATTCAGCAGGGGATCAGCACTGACACCTCGAACCTTTTCATGTTAGCTGTTTGCCAGCCCGTTTTGAAACCATCACAAAGAAGTTGCTTCCCTCATTTCAAGTTTAATTTTCCAGTCCTGGACTTGTAAGTGCTTTGATCAGCAGTGAGGTGGGATTGCTACTCTACATTTTTTGCAGCTGGGAGAGAAATTAGTATTTTCTTAAAAATCTTTTCCTGTTGGAGATTGTAGTATTGTAGAACACAGAAGTCTGGATGTTTTTTTATCTGACTAGCTTCATTTCTAAGAGGCAAGCTTTCTCTAAATTGCATGCTAAAAAATCAGCATGCTATGTCAGGCTTCAGAATGATGAGGGGGTGGATGTTCTTTGAGGCTGGTTAGTGTGAGAAGTCTGAGAGAGATCTCAGGATGCTTTTGCTTTCACATCTATCTGGTGATTTTCTATAAGGCCAGGGGAAAGAACCAGCCAAACTTTGTGATCAGTCCAGAAGATCTCTGGGATGAAACTTGACCCTGTGCAGCTTTAGTTTGTCACAGAGCAGGGATGTTGCACTGTGTGCATATGCTCTATATACACTCTCCTGCTGTGTATCAAGAAAATACTAGAAGGACAATTGTGATATTCAGGATATTAAATATATATTTAAAAAGAAATTTTAAGGGAAAAGCATAGGTGTGCCTTTTGTCACTTTCTGTCTTCACGCTGCACCTGAAGGCTACTAATGAGATACTCTGTTCTCTCTGTTTATAATCAGGAGTAACCAGAGATGTCGGGGTTAGTTGTCAAGCTTTGTGTTATTTGATCTGTCTTGGAGAGCTAAGATACTTAATTCATTAGGTAAATGTATCTGAAGAAGCTGTAACTCTTAATTAAAAATATTATAATGAAAATCCATTTTTGAAGCTGCTGGTTTGAGTTTTTGATAGGTTGCATCTCTTCTGCTGAATTTTACCCCTGCATGATGGTGAACTTGTTGGACACCAGTGGACCTGCTGAGTGCCAGCTCTCTGCTGAGTTTTTGCTTATTCCTCTCCTGATCTTTGGGCAGGGTCTGTATTGCTGGGATGTGCAGGAAGGCTAGCAAAAGAAATCCTCTTAGTATTTTTTGAGCAGAGTGTAGTTTGTGGTCTGGCCTGGTATGGGTAAGTGATGACTGACCCAGAGGTCTGTGTTCTGTAGTCAGGGGTGCTGAGTGAGAGCTCTGGGTTTCTGAAGAACAATCTCTGTGTCTGGCCAAGTGCTTTGTTCAGTGGGTTGTATGAGGTGCAGGCAGAGTTCTGTCCAGTAATTCAACCCTGAGCTCCCTTTTCAGTTTCAATTGTAATCATGAGAAGAGCAGGTTTATCAAACCAGGATCGTTTTCACTCCTGATGAGCTGTGCTGCAGGACTGAGCACTGCAGCTCCTCCGAGCTGGGCTTCTTCAGTGTGATGCAGAGCACTGGAACAGGGACTGCCGAGAAGCTGCTTCCTAGGGAAGGCTGAGCATCAGCCTTTGTGCTGACAGAAGGTGGACCAATGAGAGCTGCTGAGAACTGTTGTTGCATCTGTACCAACTAGGAATAACCCCCAATGGACAGACGATGAAAGCCAAGGGCACTGCTGGAGCTGTGCAGGCTGCTGCAGGAGGCTTTTAGGAGCCTTTAGGATGGCTCAAGCATCCAGAAGTTCATGGCTTGTGTGATAACAGTCTGGTTTTGGTCAAATTAGTTGATGTTTCTTGGAGAGGGGGAAGAGCAGGACTCCTGAGCACCACTCTGTTTGGTTCACTCTCAGTAAATTGTCTCTTCATACTATAAATGTGCTTGTGTTGGGAGAAATTTCTCAGCAGCTTTGTAGTTTTGTGACTCCAGCAATGGATCCATCCTTCTTTGATTGTGAACATTCAGATTACAGAAGGTGTGGGATATAACCTGTGTGGTGTACAACTGAGCTTTTGCTGATGAGCGGGGGAAAGCCTTGGTCCTGCCCTGGCCTGTCTTGTCCCATAGGCTGCTGGTGCTGCTCTCTCCTCCCTGGTGTCAGCACCGATTCCTTGTGCTGCCTTTTCCATCAACCAGGAATCCAAACTTACTGCTTTCAGCTCTGTGCTTAGTTACAGGCTGGATCTGTTCCCTGGGCCCTTTTCCTGGGATGCTCAGGGGTGCCCAGAGCCCAGCGCTGCGCACTCATGGCCCCGGCATCCTGGGTGTCTGTGGTTCCTGGAGCAGCTGTAGTTCTGTACCAACTGAAATCCCAAGGCTGAATCATAGCTCTCTGTATTCCACATCATCACTTCCTTCCCTGCTCTGCTGTCATCCTTCCTCCTTGCTGTCATCGTTTCATCATCTGTAGTTGGGTAATTACTGTAATTACGGCTCCCAGCGCTGGTCTGTCAGTGGCCAAGTGCTGTGTGTTGTATGTGAGTGTTTTCCAGGGTCCATGGGGTATTCATCCCTTTTCCAGCTGGTGAGGAGCTTTGCTGCAGCTGATACAAGACACCTTTAGGTCTGACTTGCATGAGTTGTCCTTGCAGTGCAGCTCCAGAGGCTGTTGTTGAGCTGGTCAGCACACCAGGGGTGCAGCCAAAGAAATGAGGTTTCCTCTTCCTTTGCAATGGCCCTTGCCCAATGACCAGCTCTTTGGGCTTGCTGGTGGACACAGCCACTGGTTCTGTTCCTGTCCTTGGCCATCTCAAAGTTGTGAGTAATCCTTGCTCTGCCCCAGGGCATTTTGGGGGGTGCTGCAGTTTTGATGATGGAACTAAGCTGTATTTTGAGGTGCAGGCTGCTCTGGGAGCTCACCGATCATGTCACAGGTAGGAGCAGGTAACATAAGCCAGCTGGGTGAGTGAGGACCAGGTTTCTTGCAGTGCAGGCAGAGCTGGCAAGAGATAGGAAAGCTTTTGATCTCTTCCAGAATGGGTGATGAAGGAAAAGAGGAGCCCTGGCTGGTTTTGAAAAGGCTCTGCGGTAATTGTGGGGAGAGGAGGGCTCATATGGGGATGTGAGCTCTCTTAGATGCAGCTTTCAGTAACTTAGTCAGGAGCCAGCTGTGACTTTGGCCACAGCCACCTTCAGAGTGGTCCTGGCTGGTTTGATGGTTGGTGGGAGACCAGTGTCTGATTAGCAGCAGAGAATCTCTCCTCCAGCCTGTAGCTCTGTGCTGTGCAAATGTAACACTGGGAGCGTGAAGTTTCAACACGGAGTTGAAACGAGAAGTGAGCTCCAGATCCATCACTCTGCTTGGGCAGAGTGCTTCTGGTAGGGGTGGTGGTGGTGACTCTCCTGCAGTGCTGGGTACCATTCCTGAGGAGCTGTTCCTTCTCAGTCTGGCACTTGTTTTTAGTTCAAGCAGCAAACAAGTGCTGCATCCTGAGAGCATGCAAAAGCAACGGGCACGCTTTATAGAAGATGTGACCCTGCAGCACCGTGGCCTAGAAAGACCTCCTTGTTCTTTATCAGCAGTCATTAAACAGCAATTAGGAAATCAAAATAACATTAGGGTATTGAAGTAAGATCTCAGGCTTGTTTTGACAAGATTTCAGTTACTGTTAAGAGTGGTTTTGATACCCCTCTATCAGATGACTCCAAAGGAAGTAGCAGGTCGATAATAACCGCGTCACTGCTCGTTTTGGTGGCTGATGGAAGGAAACCCTGGTGCTGTGTGTGCTGGGGGTGGCAGGAGGGGAGGTGACCTGTGGCAGTGTGTTGCTTGCCTCTGTGAGTGCTGCCAGGGATTTCCTGCTGCTCTGTTCTGGGTTTGCTGTGGATGATGGGGCAGCCAGATTTCAGGCATGGGTTTTGTCTAAAGACACACAAGTCTCTGGGGTTGTGTCCGCGGGGTGTGCTCTGCTGCTGCCACAGCTCAGCCTCCCTTTTGGATAGCTGGAGTAAAGGTTCAGCTGCAGGGAACAATCTGTTCAGAAGGGCGTTTTCCTAATTCCTGAATACTGCTGTAGAAGAGGAATTCTGACTTTTGTGTCACTGCGAAGAGCAAGCAGACAAAATAAAGCTGAGGAAGGCCATTCCCGTCGGGAACACGAGAGAGTGCTGTTCAGCTGCAGGATTCCCATGGCCTGGCCTGGCAGCTTCAGAGCTCCCAGGGAAGCAGTTTCAGAATCCAGGACAGTTTGTTATAATTAGGTGTGGGATTAAGTTTAATTTGCCATAAAATGCTCTTATGGAATAGTGCATTCTAGGTTAACTCGGTGCGATCAGGTTTGTGTTCAGTGAGCTGTAACCACTTCTTACCCAGGTAGTTCTGGTGGTCAGGGCTGTGTCACCCCGGGCTG